TAAATTGTATTAAAATTTATTAGAAATTGTTTTTTACTGAAGGAAAATTTAATAAGGGATTTTGAAAAATAACAAAATAAAAGGTTTTAATTCCATAATTTTGTTTATTGGACACAATTAATATCAAGTATAATGTCCTCTGTTAGGCGTACTGCTTATAAGGTTGTTGCTAATTTCATAAGGAATTTTATTCCATAGTTGCAGTGCTGCCACTCAGTTGTTGCAGGACAATTAGCTGCAGATGGTGATCGAAATGCCTTCTCTGCAACGCATCCAACATGTGCTCAATGATATTGAAGTCCGGAGACAATGGGGGAAGGGGCCGGTGGAAATTCCAAGGTTTTCTAAACTTTGATGTACAACTGTGCCTCTATGAGGTCTGGCATCATCATCCAGAAGTCGAAAATCCCTGCCAATTAGATCCCTGGTTTGAGAGATGTATTCCTCCATAATTTCTTGGACATAACGGACTGCAGTGAGGTTGCCTTCAACAATATAGAGTCCAGTTCGTCCTCCAGTGTCAATCCCAGCCCAGACCAGTATACTGCCTCCTCCAAACTTCACTGAAGGGAGCATGAACTAGGGCATTGTACGTACCCCTTGTTCTCAGTAGAATTTTTGGCGCCTGCTATCACTATACAGACAGAAATGCGACTCATTAGGAAACATAACTGCATTCCAATGATTCTCTTCTAGGCACTCGCTGTACCATCTTTTCCTGTGTTAGCCTGCTGATGGCCTGCTGTTGCTGCAGGTCGTCTCAAAGGGGCAGACGATGTAAGGCCTACTTCCCACAAATGATTATAAATCGTTTGTGTTGATAAAGGCCTTGCGGAAACATCTTGTACTTCATTTATGATCTGGAGGGCACTGTGGAAAGGATTCCGTCTTGCAGCAGTGACAATATTTGTGTCCTCCCTTAGCGTCGTAATGTGCTGAGATTCACTACCAGGCCTCCTATTGGCACTTCCAGTCACTCGGAATCGGGCTAAAGTCCAGGAGACCACGCTCTGAGATACGCCTCTGTGCTATCCATTTGCCGGTGACCTCGATGACTCATTCTCACAATAATATTGCACACTTCTGATCCAAGATGTCTTTCCATGGTTAAAGAGAATACAACTGGGTTAAAATGGAGAAAAGGTGTTTGTATACAAAATGAATAATCTTCATGCTTACTATTCTTAAGTAAATCCATTATTAAAAATGAGTATTAACATTTATTTGTTTTTTGGTTTGTATTTTCTATTTTGTTTTATCCAACTAACAAGAATATAAAAGTTAATTTAATTAAAATTGATAGGATAAGAATAAATTACAATTATCTATATTAATTTTTGAGCAGTTTATTTATATAGCATTCAACAAAGTGCTCAAGCGGTAACAGATTCCGCTTTCATGTGATTTTGTATAACAATTCCATCCCATTTTCATGCACTAATTGGCCTGAATATGCCAAATGTATGGCAGTTGCAATTGCTCTGTCGTACTGAAAAGGGAGGGGGCAGATTAAAAAATCTGTGTTGTCAGTATACTTATTCGTTTTCTGGTCTTAGATCATGAATAAAGTATCATTACAATTGTACAAATCAAATTATCCCAAGGTAATTTAACTACTGAGAAATAGTAATTTGGTTAATCTGATGAGCTTTAATAGTACAGGTCGTGATGGTCTCAGACTTAGCTGTTAATATGTATTTCACCAACTGAACTGTCAACATTGATAGATGATCTGATCTAACAGTCTTACCCGTTAAGTATCTACTGTAAGCGATGGCCTTGTGGTCATCAAATAGTTACACTAAAGATTCGAATCCCTGAATAGCTCATGGAATTTTAATACAGAATTGAAGAAGAAGCATTGGAGAGTATTTTGACATCATCAATGACACTCAATCTATTTTAGACGTTATTGCCATCCAGTATGACTATCTAAGCGGTTTTGGAATATTATCTCAGACTCTAATTTTCTCGGACTATTAAAAACATTAAGCCTTGCAACTCAAGATACCAAAACAGATATGCACCAATATTTTATTTCCAATGTGCAGTAGCAAAATAGGCAGAAAGATAATTTTATTCGTATAATTGCCCGAGGCTTCAGTCCCCTTCATCTAAGTGAAGGGGGAAAAGAAGGGTGGGAACCATTGTTACCGTTGTCACTGGGTAGCATTAATGTCGCCATGTCCAGATGTTTCAGGTTGTTACGTATAATTCATATATAATAATTGGCAGGAGGTTAATAGTTGTGCGTTCACAAATCTACATATTTATTGACAAGTCTATGTAGATGAATTGAACTTTTTTTAAACAGAGGTTGTGTTTTTGAAATTTGACCGAGGAGGAAAAAATCAGGCTGGCGTATAACAATTACATTCACCCACGAACACTCTGAATCAAGATATGGTATTGAAGAAGAAAGCAAATTCAGTTGTTAATGCCAACCTTTCGACCTATTTTTAGGTCATCATCAGGGCCTATATTAATTTCACATTATGAAAAACAATTGTTAATCCATTGTACAAATATGTTGTTCGTAATGTGAAATTAATATAGGCCTTGATGATGACCTTAAAATAGGTTGAAAGCTTGGCATTAACAACTGAATTTGCTTTCTTCTTCAAGACCATGAACATACATTGATCCAAAGTGTTCGTGAGTGAAAAAATGGTCGATATTTTTAATACTGAAAATTATATTCACTACACCGTTTAAAATAGTTTGGCTTCAATGTGTTTGTGTATTGCATGGACACGGTTCGTCAGAAATTTAGATTTGTCACACCATGAATCACAAACCAGTTCAACAATCCCCAATTGTTTTGCATCCAGACCTGGTCTCCCTATAGGAAAGAATTTTTCTTTTATTCTTTGTCGTATTAGTCAGAAAGTTATTTTATCACTAATAAATGTTTAATGTATTTTAAATAGTAATCTATCCTAAGAAAACGGTCAAAGCTGTCAAAATTTCAATGCTCCTGTCCAAATCCATAGATCTGTTAAGCATTTGCGAGGGTCCGTTCCTGCTCACTTCGCTCCTGTTTGGAGTCGATACATCAAAGGGTGATTTGATAGTTATCAACCATTTTGGTCTTTATATCCTCACCTGGTTCGTCATCTGTTGTAAGCGGCCTCGTAAAATGCACACAGACCAACCACTGAAGATGGCGAAATGCCTGAACCCTGTGAGGGTAGGCAGGCCAAACAAGTTTTCTTTTTTTCTGTACAAAACTTTATGTGTGTAAATTTGTTGGTAGCAATCAATAAAATCTGACATGAACCTGTCAGTCCTCAGGGATGGGGATGGGGGAGAGAAGCTGGCCATTGCTGGAACTCTCAGTGTTTGGGATTGTTGGCTTAGGTTTAGGGTTGCGTTAGGAGTTCACGAAGCCACTGTCTTTTTAGAGTTGGATGTTGAAGAGAGGCCTTGAGCTAATGAATTGATGTGGAAAAAGAATTTGGAGTGGAAGTCGTGGAATCATGTTTGGATCATGTTCTTCACGAATATGATGTCTAAGTCTTTGTGGTTGGTTTGATTAGTGAATTAGAAATGTTCATTTTCTGATTTAAGAATTCGAATCACATATAAGATGAATCTATAATAATACTTTTAATTTATTCAGATTTTTATCTGTGACCATGCAAGTATAAAACAAGGTTTGCTTAGTATATTTCAAATATTTCAATTTTTCTTTGGTCTGCTGCCAATTGGGTTAATTGAAAACTAGAATTTTATATAACTACACTACTATAGGCAAATAAGCTTGCCAATTGATAACAAAATTCTCAGCTGACTGACTACAAGCCAGGTTCACAGTTCATGCTAAATAAAAAATATCCTGGTCAGTAACGCCGATGTTAACTATATTACTAGATTAATTTTTTATAGATCCGTAAAGTTTGACATATTATTTTTTTATTTTTCTTGAAATTGCCTTAACTTTAACTGTAAAAGAATTTCAGGTTCATTTTTCTCTCCAATGCTTTAATACTTGACTAATTGTAAACAACAGAAATAGGATGTACAATTGAAACTTCGATGGTAATTAGAATGAATTAGAAAAGGGGGAGCTGAGAGGCGGACTGAGCTTAGTTAGCAGTTCCTTCCTACCTATCCTGCATTATTAATAGTTTAACACTAGTTGCATACAACCTGAGAAATTATATAAAAAAGATTTCACATTATTTAAATTTGTATGCTAAATATTTCAATTTGCCAAATACAAAATTTAGATTAATACATATTTGTTTAGTGGCCATAATTGACCATATTAATTATTACAAAAGGGCACTCTCAACATGACACGCAAGGATGGCACAATTACACAGAAGACAACACTTTGAGCCCTGAAGATGATCTCAATAAAAGATCGAAACGTTGGCACGATAAAGAAAATGTTTTTCTGAAACCTACATCTCACGATATCTGAATAAGTTAATTATTACAATTAACAATTCTTCATCTCAACCAAAAACCTTAGATGAAAAGAATAATTAATTGGAATACAAAATTTAGTTTCATTACATGCTGAAAGATAATTTCTGAACATTAAACCGTTTTTCTTACCCTTTACAAGGTTCAGTTACGAAATATTTTCTTTAATGATTATTAGCAGCATTGGTCAAGCGGACCACGAAATTAGTGAATTTAATTATTAGCAGCAATGTAGCAATTTGATCATTATGGTTACTGTAGTATTAAATCTGATCAATTATGCTTCAAAAAAAGTAACAGTGATAAATAACATACGGCCCAAACACTGAAAATAGCGAAATGATGAAATATGCTGATAAACCAATCAGAATAGGTAGGTCAGGAAGATCAGTACAGTTAAAAACTGTAATAATCAAATTAATTTAATAGATTTACTTTTTATTTATTCTTATGAGGGTTGTGAGATATATTTGGTTCAGACCCTCAGTTTTTTATAATTATAATAATATTTATTTCCAATTTTATTCTTACAGTTTCTCATTTTCCAAATGTTTTTTCTGTTTCAGATCCTTCAGACATGAATGTGTTACTAGAATTCCCTATCCATAGATTCACTGAATGCTCAAGGATAGGACAAGTTTGTTATATATTTATGCTCGATGGTGAAAGCACGCTACTTAGGTTTAAAGATGAATATGGTAAGATTTTGTTTTTTGCTATTAGTTGTTGTTAGTACAGCAATTTTTTGGAATCAGACTTAATTGATCGTGTTTCGTTTCTAGTATAAATAATTGTACATCTCTAAATCCCCAATTCTAGATATGTATTGTTTTTTTTTCCAAGTCTAAATTGGTTTTGTTCTATAAATTGATATGAACTTTAAAAATTTATAATTTTTTGGAAAAAACTACCCTGTGGGGTGTTTTTACTACTACTCTTCAGTTAGTAGTTACAGTAGCTTTTATACACAAATAAAGTCTTATTATTCAGTCAACATGTTTTACAATATAAACTTATTTATTTTAATATACTATTTTCTTTACTAACGATGCAATTTCAGAAATGAAAAAATTTCATGCATTAGTGAATGAAGTTAAAATTGGCAAAGGGACTTCGGTTTTCTCAGAGCGCACTGATGATTCATCTGCTATACAATATTTTCAGGTGAGTTTAGTTATAGCAAGGTCAGAAATGGGAATCTTGTGGCATGTAATTATTCTTTCAGTGATTATATTTTTTTATTACACTCCCTAACAGATCTACATTTATTAACTCCTTTAAAAAAAACTACTGTCTACTATATCCATTCGGAATGCTATGCAACATCAACACCAGACCATTTATGATTTGTTTAGAGCATAATTATGCCATTAGTACGTTTTGTTAAGCCTGTTTCATAACCCTTACATTTCTATCTTATCATTAAATTACATCATTCAACACCAAATCTTTTGTGAGAGATGTGGAATTTGGACTCCATACTTTTTTTTAAATAAGTAAATAAACAAATTTCCTCAAAATGTATAAATTTTTGAGTTAACAACTTTTTAAGAAGTATTTCAATTATGTTTTAGTAGCATTTGAATAAAATTTTATGGCTAAAATATTTCGTGACAAATTAAGACAATCTGTTGTAAGTCTTCATAAGGAAATAGTTTCATCTTTCAACTAATTTCATCCTTGCTGTAGGGCTCGATTCTCAATAATTAACCAATTCTGTTTTTATTGTCAGGCAAAGTTTTTGTCTTTTTCTTCAATGTGAAGATTTCATAGGAATGATTGATAATTTTTCTTTTTGCTTTTCTGTTTCAGTTTTATGGATACCTTTCACAACAACAAAATATGCTGCAAGACTATGTTAGAACAAGCACCTATCAAAAGGCAGTACTTTCAAACAGTGAAGACTTCCGCGACAAAGTTGTTTTAGATGTTGGAGCAGGCAGTGGAATTTTATCTTTTTTTGCTGTTCAGGCCGGTGCCAAAAAAGTGTATGCTGTTGAAGCTAGTTCAATGGCACAGCATGCAGAAGTGAGTCTATTATTAATGGAAAAATAACTTAGCTGGAAGTCTGACTCGCCTGTTATACCGTTTAAAAAATGCACCCATAAATTATAACTTGTTTATTTTAAAATAGCCTTCAATAAAATGTACACGATAAAATTTGAATTGTTCATTGTGCTTATTGTGAAACAAGTAGACGTTTTATGATAAAACAATTGGAGCCTATCGGTGGACGAAGGTATGTTCAGGAACTCATGCTTCCTAAATTTTCAGAAGACCTTTTGCATTTAAGCTTGGAAATTTTTAAGATTTAGAAATATAAAAAAATTACTTCCATTCCATCCAAATTTACAACAAAGGTTTGTGAAAAACACAGGCATAATATTATTAAAGTTCATTAAACCGATGATTTCAACCTTATTATATATTCATAGATAGAAGTAACACCTATTTATTTTTGCTTTAGTCTCGACATTTAGACCTCACGAGTGCTGTTGATTTGTACTTCTTCTTTGCTACTTCCTTGAGTCCTTGATGGTTTCATATACTTTGTTTTATTTAAACTGATACGCAATTATTTCAAACTCTTCTGCCTGATTGGGCAGGTAAAATTTGCGCTGCTATGGCCATGTCCGCATTCACCATATGCTTAGTCGACCCTATTTTAGATTGTTCTACCCATGTTCATCCAGATCGTTTGCGTTTTCTAAGGCTTATATCAGTTGCCATTTTTACAAGTCACTGATATCTTAATCAGCTGGGTACATATTAATAAGGTATCATTGCAACCCATAAGTACTTCATACAACATAAATTGGCTTTTTTTCCCTTGTCCTGTTAAGACCGTGAAAAACTTAATATTGAGGGCAAACACCTTCGTTTTTACATTGAAGCATTAAGATTTTTTTCTATTTATGTTAATATCTGTACCACCCAAATATATTTATTTCTAACAAATTATTAGAAAACCCCGTTAAAAAAAAAAAAAAAAAAAAATGCTCAGATTTAACTTTTGGTTAGTTTTTTTTTGTTTATTATATTTTAACATTTATTGTAGGCTTTGGTGGCAGCAAATAATTTTCAAGACAAGATTAAAGTAATTGCTGGGAAAATAGAAGAAATCGACCTTCCAGAACAAGTTGATGTCATTATATCAGAACCTATGGGATATATGCTATATAATGAAAGGATGCTAGAAACGTACTTGCATGCAAAAAAATGGCTAAAACCCGGAGGTAAACTCAAAAGATTTCAAATTTTCATTTATACATATCATGAACGAACATGGGCTGATAGATCATCTTTTTACAGGAATTATGTTTCCAAGCAAGGGAGATCTTCATATTGCACCGTTTATGGACGATGCACTTTTTATAGAACAAACTAATAAGGCTAGTTTTTGGTAAGTTTAATTGTTTTTATGCACATTGTACTTTAAATTGTCGTGGTTATTTTTTTTCCGTCCCTTTTTGGGCAAAAATGTTTATTAACTGTTCTGAAATCTAGATTGTGTGGTCATTAGCACACGTGTGATACGAAATAAACATTCTAAGTATTATTCAGAAATCGTGAGATGCGGTCTGGTGGGATGTAGGTTTCAGAAAAACATTTTCTTTATCGTGCCAACGGTTCGATCTTTATTGAGATCATCTTCAGGGCTCAAAGTGTTTGTCTTCTGTGTAATTGTTGTTACAAGACCGCATTTCACGATTTCTGAATAATTATCGATTAATGGTCACTAATCACGACACGTTTTAAGTATTACAGATGACACTTTATTGGTCATTACAAATGAACAAATAAATAAAACATTGTCACTTGTCATTGTGAATTTAGAAATACCTTTACTCTCTCTACATGCAACCTCATCCTTAAATCTTACCTGGCAACAGGTACTTTAGAGTATGGGTCGGATCTTCATACTCTCCTTTGTACAGAGTAGATGCAGGAGTCCTTTACACTACGATATTATTTCTATTATTAACTATTTTTTATTTCTATTATTAACTATTTTTATTTTCTATTATTAACTATTTTTTATTTCTATTATTAACTATTTTTTATTTCTATTATTAACTATTTCTTATTTCGAGTATGGGTCGGATCTTCATACTCTCCTTTGTACAGAGTAGATGCAGGAGTCCTTTACACTACGATATTATTTCTATTATTAACTATTTTTTATTTCTATTAACTATTTTTTATTATTATTATTATTATTAACATTGATAAAATAATCAATAAGTTTGATTAGATTTTTATTTTGATAATTTTTTCCTTCATCTACACCAAATGGATAAGTGTAATTTAGCACTGTTATTTCTTCAGGTACTCACCTTAATTTGGAACAAATTGTTTAATAAATTAATGCCTTTTAGGGTACAGACTTGTTTTCACGGTGTCGATTTAAGTGCCATGAAAGATGCCGCAACGAAAGAATACTTTCGACAACCAATTGTGGATACGTTTGATATGAGAATATGCATGGCAAAATCGATAAGGCATTCTGTCGATTTCACAGTAGCAGAAGAATCCGACCTACATAAAATTGGTATATAATTTCACTATGAACATTTTAAAATGATATTTACATTATCAATTAAATTTTATTTTTTTATCTAGTTATTCCGTTAGAATTTTACATGCTTGAAACTGGAACTGTTCATGGCCTTGCATTTTGGTTCGATGTCGCCTTCACCGGAACAAATCAAACAGTGTGGCTATCGACTTCACCGACTGAAGCATTAACTCATTGGTACCAGGTTAGGTGTTTGCTGGAGTCTCCTCTGTTTGCGAAAGCGGGTCAACTGCTCACAGGAACCGTCACTCTCCAAGCAAACCAAAGGTAATGTTATTAATTATAAATATATTTTCTATATATGTATAAATTTATTTGTGGTTTCCAGGCAAAGTTATGATGTAACGATTGACCTTGCAATCGAAGGTGTCGATAATCTGCGATCTGTGAACACATTAGACTTGAAAAACCCGTACTTCAGGTATACCGGTCAACCTGTTGTCCCTCCACCAGGTACAAACACAATATCACCGAGTGAAGCTTACTGGAGTGCACTTGATGCACAAGGTGCGAGGCAAGGTTAGTTTTAGTCTGCTTTCTCCTGCCTCAATGGAAGGAGACTTAACAATTGCAAACAGTGCCAATCAGCCTCTTTGCTTCATTCTCCACAAATGAGTTGAAGCAAATATTTTAAATCACAGGTTTTATTATATTATGTACATAAGTTCTCCCCCCCATTTAATAAATAACATGTGCATGGATTTTTAATTTTACAATTTCCAAAGAAAGCAGTAGTTTTATTTGGTAAAAAGTAATTTCTGTCATACTGGAGGGCTTAAACGTCTAAATACCCATGGATGAGGGGGTGGTCAAATCACTTTACAATACTTTCTCCACATTATTCACAATTGAAAATCCGTGGGCTATGATGGGATGTGAACCCAAGGTCCGCTAGCATGGCAAATATAAGTTGGATGCTCTAACCTCTTTGCCACCGTGGTCCCTATATTTTGTACCATTAAGATAATTTCATTTTAGTTTAGGCATTGGCTTTAAATCTTCAAATTTAAATTTTAGATGAAAATTATAATGAAATCGTGTTAATGGGCTACAATGGATAGTAAAGCTGTCTTAAAATGCCTGAATTTGTTAAATGGCTAATAGTTTTAGTATTTAAAAAATATATATTATTATTGGGCAAATTGTATAAATGGTAACTATTTCAGCTAATAATTTTATTTAATGATTTCCTGGTCTTTGGGGTGATGAACTTGTAATTTGGTCATTTCCAAACATTCTGGTCTGTCTGTCCTTATTGTTTTGGCTGTGTTTCACAACCTATAGTTTGTTTGTAAAAATATAAGGGTTGAAATCTTTATTCTTCCTGCGTGTAATGGGAAGACCCACAAATACAGATATGCCTGAAACTACTGCATGATGTAAAAGGACGAAAAATCGTAAACAATGTAAAACGACAAAAAATAAACATAACATTAAAAAACTTATAAATACACAAGTTGACACCTGTTCACATACATCATTAAAAAGAAGAAGGACCGATGACAAGAAGAGCAGACATCGAATCGACAACCGTGCAAAATGTTCACTCATGGAAAGTTCTTGAGCGTCTTCAAGTTCATCCAGTGCTGGTTCAACACGTCACTAAGTCATTCCATACTCCTTGGCAGTTTCAAACTTGTCAATTTCAAACATGAATCTCAACACTGAAGTGGTGCCCATTTTAACATTATTATTATTTTTATGTAAAGTGTGAGTTATTATTATTTTGCCAAAGAAAAATGAGGAAAGGAAAAGGCACTCAATCCCTTTTTTTTTTTTTAATACATTGTGGTCTCAATAAAAGTAGGTTGAATAGATTTTTGCTATAGTCCACTAAAGACAAACAAAGTAGCCCAAAACCTCCTCATGACCTTATAAAAAGAGACTCGACTAAACAGAAATCACACAGACACTAAACACGGTGAAATGCTAAAATGAAATAGGTGGACTAAAATGATTGGTAACAACCAAATTACATAAAATTTTATTGTTTGTTAACTTCATTTGTTTTTTAACCGTTTTCAAATTTTTGTTTCCCTGAATGAACATAACAACGTTTCAACATTACAATTTAACTGTTGCAGCTGTAAACATGGTCAATGGGATTTCTGTGAACGGCCTTGGAGAAGTTTCATTGGATGGAACGGCAAATCAGAATGGCACTAACCTTATAGGCCTAGGTAATTTATTATTTAATCTTTATTATTATTAGTACTATTACTGTTATTATTATATTTACAGGGTATTTTAACAGCAAAGATAATATTTACCTAGGCTTATAAAACTTCAATTAAAATGGCAGTCCATTATAGCTTAAAATGATGACAATAGAATGAAATTAGCTTTTTTATGTTATAATTTTTATCTATTATGCATAATAGATTAAAAAAACCAATATGATATTTATTAAAAGTCTTTATTTAATTGTAAAAACATACCTTTACAGTTTCCCAACCAAATATTCATCCTGGTTCTATTACAAGTACTGGAAGACAACGAGCAAGCACTTTTTGCCAGGGAACACAAACTCCAAATGTCGCCGGAGTTGGTGGTATTATTACGCCAACAATCTTTTCCGCTCCAACAGTAAGTTGAATGATTTAAATATACACAATTAACTATACGATGTGATAATTTTATACTTAAGCAATGAAAACATCCAAAATTGTTCCCATTATTTAAGAACAATTTGTCAGGTAATTTTATATAACTGTTTATAATAATAGAGTTAGTCTGCATGTTTTCCACCTAGGTTGAAAAAAGAGAAAACAAAGAGTTTTCAGAGTTTGGTTTGTGTCTTCAAGGTGGCTTGCTTGTTCACAGTTTGCTTCATTAGGTTTTTGACGATGTGGTTTTTTTTATATACATCCTTTATAATGATTTTATAGTGTTATTCTTCAAAAAGAATTGATTAAGTATTAACCTATAATTGACCGTCCAAATTGTTTCAAATCTACATATTTGTGGTTCATTTCACTTTTTAAATTGGTCATTCAATACAATGAATATAGTTTATTTTTCAACCAATTCGTAAAGATATGTCTAATAAAAATTCAAATTTGTTTTTAATTATTCGATCTGAAAGCCCAAGCTTCTTACATTTATAGAAAAGCAATTTATGTAGAATGAAACCAAATTATGGATCATAATGGGATTTGTTGTTAACCCTGCTAATATCAATAAAAATCCATAATAGTTGTTAATTTAATGCAGCAATTGAAGAAGTTTAAAAGGAATAAAATGTCCTTTTGAAATTTACAATTCATTTTCAATTTAAAAGTTACACGGTCTTTATATTAATACCCCACTACACGTCAAAAACCACTTGTTAGCAAGCATTTTGGGATTTTTTAAAGATATAACATCCATATTCATCACAGCAGTAGTTTGCATGGCTTATTATCATTTTGGCAAGGGTAAATGAATGGTTATGCACAGTGTTTCAAAGCATATTAAAAAGCATTGGTTAAGGTAATACTCAGTGAAAATAGAATGGACATAACCAAAATGATTTATTTCTCAACTGAATTATTTACAGTACAGTTCTACCATTTTATTGTGGTAGCTTGTCGATTTTATATACCGATATTTTAAATTACGGTACCAATAATCCACAAGTTTTATATGTTACTTTACCATGTCAACATTCAAACATTTATTCCAAAACACACTACTCAAACTCAAACCTAAAATTTTTCGCTATCCCATCGTGCTACAAGTCCAAATAATTCTTGATGATAAAGATTAATTTTTTTACCCCACTACCAGTACTGTGTTTGCTGGTAAAAATTGCTAATTAGGATAGTTAACAAAAAAAATTGCTAATTAGGATAGTTAACAAAAATATTTTGTAGCGGTGCATGTACCAAACCAAATTATGGAATAGTTCTCATTTAATTTTGTTTATAAACACTCACATTTTGGGTTGACAAATAGGTTCTTTTGGATTTTACACTACTACAAGTTCACGCTGCTCTACCTGCCTATGTTGTAGTGCTACCATCTAATGCAGATGCTTAGTTAAAAGGCATCATTCCCCATATTGTTTAGTGAGTTTTCACTCTGAATATTTCAGTTGTATATATGTGTGATTTTTTTTCATAATGTGCATTACCAGAAATGAACTGCAAAGGTCAATAAAAAAATATACAGCACATATGGGGATGCTGCCTTATAGCCACCCAGTCGAGGTTGATTAGAATGCTGTAAAAGACATTGACAAAAATCTGTCACCAACAGTGCAGGAAATTGATGTTGACTGCCAAAGATGCAACATGTGCGTCAATTTTTGTATTTTATAAGATCATCTGAATTTTACATGAATCAAAAAGCTTCAGAAGTGTAAAATAAACTATTTCATTATTTAAAATGTACTCTAATATGGCATACTTTAGCATTTCAAAGGTCGTAACGGGATTAATCCTCTCCCTAACCTAACAATCCTTAACCCATACTCTATTTAACCTAACTTAACCATCTTCAACCCTAACACTACTTAACCTTACCCTGCATCATCTAACTTAACCTAAACCCTAATCTAACCATCCATAACCTATTCCCTACTTAACTTAACCTAACTATCTTAAGCCCTAACACTACTTATCCTAGCCTTACTATTTTTAATCTAACTCCTCCTATGTAATCTAACTTTACCTAAAACCTAGCCCAACTTAACCTAACCATTCTTAACCTATACCCTTCTTAACCTAACCTAACCTTAACCCGACCCTACTCAACCTAACCTAACTATTCTTAACCCACAAACACTGCAGGAAACTGATGCAGTATTAAACATATCCCATACAAGCATTGAAAACCCATTTCAAGTTTGGACCTCGACCAAATTGACTTCACACCTTTATTTGTGATCCATTGCAATGTTTCCAAGAAAAAGAATCATTCTTTAACATGTTGATTGTGGAACACACAACTTGCTTGTCATGCAAACTGTCCTGGGTGTGGTGGTCTGTGTCCATACTCTACCACCACTTCACCAACTACACAATACCATTAGAAATTCCTAAAGCCTCTCCAGAAAGGGCAGGAGTGTCATGGCTATAGTCGTTTAAATTTTTTTCAACTAGAAGTGATTTTTTTATTTGTTATATGAAAACCACGTTGCGACTGGGTATATGTTTGTTTGTTTGGTTATTTTAATTAATTACTCATTTTGTGTGATTATGTAAAATGAAAACCTAAATATTGTAAAAAGTTGAAGCTTGTTCAGCTACACAACCAAAGCGAACAAACGTTCTGTCGGTTGCCTACTTCATTTACTTACCACTGTGGGGGATGCAACTGTTACATCATATAATTTATATCACTAGATAAACATAAAACAATCAATTACATTATTTTTAACTACATTTATGTGATAAATTGAGTTCCACCATGGGCAACTAAAATAGCTAAGTTAAAGCACATGATCAATGGAGATGAAAAATGTCTCTTATTCATGGTGCATATGAATTGTGGGGACACGAGCGAGTGCTGTAAAAACCTCAAAAGTGGGATTACAAAGAAAATTATAATTGCTATGTGGTGGGATATTAAAGGTATATATAGCCTGCGCAATAAACATGAAACATCTAGAATCAGAAAGGAATTTCTTATATTCCTTGTCTTTCACACATTGCTAATGACCTAAAGTTCATTGTTTGCTGGATGTTTTGCTCCATCCTTGGTTTTCGACTTAGCTTCTGGTTACCTCTTATTTCAATCGTAACAGAACTCAGAAGGGAAAAACCTTCATTAACAAATGTGCTATAAAAAGGACATGGATGAGTTTATCACCAGTGAACCTCAATAGTTTCATAAATGTGTTTATGATGGTTTTATGGAATTAGTTAAAAAAGGTGCCTTTAATAAAAATAGTCAATAAATAATTGACATTAAGTTAAATTGCACTCATACAGACTGAATGAACGTATTTGTCAACCCAATATATGAAGGAAATGCACAGAAACTTTTTACCCAACACATTGTTCATTTGAATCTTCGTGAAGATTGTAGTAAATAAAATAATGTAAAAAGCAGTCAATGGAATGAATATATTTAACATATATTTTAAGACAACTTGTATATATTTTCAAAAGAGTCCCTTGCACATATAAAAAATCTACTGTATTACATTTCTTTGCGATGTACCAATTTGAAATAACGAAAAATAAATTAAAGTGATACCTGTCATACTTAGCCTTAGTTGAGCCTAGGCTAACTCAAGCATCAAAAGCCATCTTTTCTGACCTCCACATTCTCTCTCCTTCCTCGTTGTCCCATCAGTGTCAGACTTCTGTTCAGTCGTGGTGCCCTATCTGGCCTTCCCACCTTCATCTTCGGCAGTCCTCTGAACTTGGCCTTGGCTCAGTCTGCGATTTTTATATTTCAAATAGCTCACTCAACTATGAAATTTTACAAATTTCAAATTCCATTTTCACAGTGATTTTTCTCAGAACCTTCCTTTACCACTCACTTTAAATTTACAATTCTCCTCTATCACCAGGGCATCTAGGTATTTAAATTTTTGCAGCATCTGAAGATATGCTCGTTCTCTGCACTTCTTTCCTTTTTCCTTTAGTACTGTTTTTATGTACTTTGTTTTATTCTGACTCTTAAGCAAATACTAGCGGCTCCCATTTCGAACTCCTCCATGGCTTTTGAAGGGCGGGTATACCTTTGTATGACCATGGCATATGTACGACAGTTGAGTCGTAATGTTATTTTGTTCCTGGGTTCATCTAGATTGCTCTCATTAGCTTGTCGAGAGCCAAAGTAAATAGAATCAGTACCTTTGTTTATGCAATTCCCCATGGTTACCAACCTTACCGGTCATTTTCGCAAGTCTTACTGGCTTTAAGTGGATCCCTAATGATAAATTTCCCTAACCGTCTACATATTTATGGAATCGCCTGATTCAAACAAGGTGGTGCAGGCTTACATTACACTTTCCAATGGTAGTCGTAGTGCCAAAGTTCATTGTTGATCTCCCTCTGCCTTAAACCATACTGGTAGTCGCCAATCGCCTTCACAGCCCACTTGGTTCCCACTAACAGAAAGACAATATCGTCATAATTTTGACATGCTATTCAGTCACCTTTCTTATAAAAAGCACAAAAAACTTTTATGCTACAATCCTCCAGCATAGTTTCTTGTGTCTAGGTGTCCCATACTTTCTATATGCAAGTCTTCTATATTGAAACAAATCAGCTGGTATCCCTTCAAAATACCTGAAGCTTGGTGATTCTTCCACTAATTCCTCCCAGTCTGGTACTTTCTTAGTTTTGTCTTTGAAAAATAAGGCCCAAGGAAATGTCCATCATACCATCAAGCTTAATGTCCCACTATCCATTAGGACAAAAAGTAATATAATTAAGCAGCAAAAGTTATAATCTGATTTTCAATAGCTACTAAATTATTGATTTCTCCAGATTATACAACCCATTGAAATATGGGAAAATTTAAATATTAATTATGCCAGTGATGCTTGAATAACACAATAAATTAACACGTAGCAAATTCAATTTAAAGCCAGTGGCTTAGCTTTGTCAGATCTTTAAGGAGGATTATTATTATTTTTTCTTGCTATA